ACATTTTTCCTTATCAGCCCAGATACATAAATTTGTTTTTTGTAGGAGCTATGTGGTATTCCATTGTTTGAATATGCCATAATTTATTTAAATTATTCTCTAGCAATGTATATTTAGGTTGTCTCCAATTTTATTGCAATTTACATCCTTGTACATATATCTTGTTGGTTCCATCTTCAAGATAAGGTTTTAGCAGTGTAATTTCCAAGTCAAACATTATGCAATTTATTTTTTTTTAAGATTTTATTTATTTATTTGAGAGCGAGAGAGAGCACACAAGCAGGGGGAGTGGCAGAGGGAGAGGGACAACCAGGCTCCTAAGCAGGGAGCCTGATATGGGGCTCGATCCCAGGACCCCAGGATCATGACCTGAGCTGAAGGCAGAGGCTTAACTGACTGAGCCACCCAGGTGCCCCAAAGGTTAGGCAATTTCTAATTTTGACATATACTCCCAAATTGTTCTACACAAGGGTTGCTCTACTTTATGCATGAGTGTATGAATGCTGGTTCCCTATATATTTTCAGATGCTGGGTATTATCAAGTCTTTCATTTTTGCCAAAATGATAGTTTAAAAGTAGTGTATCTTTTTTTTTTCTAAAGATTTTATTTATTTTTTTGACAGAGAGAGACATAGCGAGAGCAGGAACACAAGCAGGGGGAGTGGGAGAGGGAGAAGCAGGCTTCCCGCAGAGCCCGATGTGGGACTTGATCCTAGGACCCTGGGATCATGACCTGAGCCAAAGGCAGACTCTTAATGACTGAGCCACCCAGGCGCCTAAAAGTAGTGTATCTTTTTCATTTTTCTCTTTAATTTTGGGTGAAATGTACATTTTTTGTTTACTAATCACTTGTATTTTTTTCCTGTCAACTGCTTATATCCTTTGTCCATTTTTCTATGTTTTGGTGTTAATTTGTACAGTCTGTTTCTGTATTATGGAAATCAGCTTGTCATATGTGTTTGCCATTTGCCTTTTGTCTTTGTGGATTGTTCTGTTTTTATTTTTATTTTCATTTTTTAAAAGATGTATTTATTTATTTTCTAGAGCACAAGCAGGGGGAATGGCAGGCAGGGGGAGAGGGAGAAGCAGGCTCCCCGCTGAGCAGGGAGCCCGATGTGGGGCTCGATCCTAGGATGCTGGGATCATGCCTGAGCCGAAGGCAGACGCTTAACCGACTGAGCCACCCAGGCGCCCCTACAACTTATTTTGATGTAAGGAATAAGGAAAGCTATATGGTTTTGTTTTCTTTTTCAAATAGCTAGCTAGTTGTCCAACATCACTTACTAAAATAATTTTTCTTTTCCTGATTTGAAATGTTGCCTTTTCATATTCTAAATTCCCTTTGGAATAAGAATCTGTTTTTGGTGACTCCAGTCTGTTCAATTGATCATTTGACCTATCCCTCCTTTCATACCAACTCCTTATTTTACTGGAGTTTTTATTTTAAAATCTGATAGAGTTGGCTTCATTTCCTACTCTGAAAATGTTAAAACTCATGATACACATTGCCAAATTACTTTCTAGAATTATTATGTTAATTTACACTAGACACTTGCAGCACTATTATCTTTTAGAAGTTCTTTGCCGGTGTGATTGAAAATGCTCATTTGTTTCTGATATTAGCGAGTTGATTTGTGTGAAATGTCTTTATATTTTTCCCAAGTTTTCTACTGACATTTTTTTTTTAAGATTTTATTTATTTATTTGAGAGAGAGAGAATGAGAGACAGAGAGCACGAGAGGGAAGAGGGTCAGAGGGAGAAGCAGACCCCACGCTGAGCAGGGAGCCCGATGCGGATTCGATCCTAGGACCCTGGGATCATGACCTGAGCCAAAGGCAGTCCTTAACCAACTGAGCCACCAGGCGCCCTCTACTGACATATTTTTTAATTGATATCATGAAATTTAATATATGTGTGTGTGTATATATATATATATATATATATATATATATATATATATATATGGCCTAACAATATATATGTACCTTTAATGTTAAAGACATAAGTTTTTTGGTGTATTTATTGCCAATATATTTCCCAACTTGATATATGCTCTTCAGTCAGTACCCTTTGTGATATAATAAATTCAAAAATTTTATTCAGTCTATTCAAGCAATTTTTTGTGATTGCTTTTATTTTTCAAAAAAATCCTCCCACCAAAGACCAGATAATCTTTCAATTGTTTTTAGTTTTTAGGTTTTTTTTTTTGAAGATTTAAAAAATTTTTTTAAAATAATCTCTATACCCATTGTGGGGCTCAAACTCGTGACCCTGAGATCAAGAGTTGCATGCACTTCTGACTGAGCCAGCCAGGTTCCTCTAATTCAATTGTTTTTAAAAGATTCCAGGGCTCCTGGGTGGCTCAGTTGGTTAAGCTTCTGCCTACAGGTCATGATCGCAGGGTCCTGGGATCGAGCCCCGCATTAGGCTCTGTGCTCAGCGGGGAGCTTGCTTCTCCTTCTCCCTCTGCCTGCCATTCCCCCTGCTTGTGCTCTCTCTATCAAATAAATAAATAAAATCTTTAAAAAAAAAGATTCTAGTTTGCATGTTCTGGAAACTCAAAGTATTGTTATTTTAAATAAAATGTAGGGAAGTTGTTATTTTAAATAAAATGTAGAGAAGTAGGAGGGGCACCTGACTGGCTCAAGTCCATAGAGCATGTGACTCTTGATCTCAGGGATGTTAGTGCGAGCCCCACGTTGGGTGTAGAAAAGTTGAAATGGAACATTTTTGTCATGAAGTCATATTGCTGTGATGTAAAGTTTTCTCTGCATATATATGATTGCATATTTAGAATTTAAAGATAAATGAAAGTTATTTTTTTATAATTTAAAATTATTTTAAAACTCTGAGTATTTTTGCACATTGTTTTTTCCCCAAACAGTAACTGAATTTCAAGAATTAGATCTTGTGTGAAAATTACCATTATGTGTTTGAGAGATAAAACAATTCCAAGACATAATGTTAAATTCTTTTGATTTTTAAAAAAATACACAATGTGCATAATTAATAATGAGAGATGCCAGTTATTGGATGCATTCAATGACCTAGGTATTGAGATTTTCTCATTTTAAAAAAATAACTTGGACAGAATCAAATGGTTTATTCCTCTGTACCATACACTGCTTCTAAGTCATTCTACAAAAAACAAAAACAAAAACCCAGCAATGTTAAGAATTCATATAGCTTTATTTAATGAAGAAAAATTCTTGTTATATGATCAAATGAGTCACAGGGTTGTTTATTTCTTATTTATTTTTTTTTTTTTTAAAGATTTTATTTATTTATTTGACAGAGAGAGACACAGTGAGAGAGGGAACACAAGCAGGAGGAGTGGGAGAGGGAGAAGCAGGCTTCCCGCTAAGCAGGGAGCCCGATGCGGGGCTCGATGCGGGGCTCGATGCGGGGCTCGATCCCAGGACCCTGGGATCATGACCTGAGCCAAAGGCAGATGCTTAACGACTGAGCCACCCAGGCACCCCCACAGGGTTGTTTAAATGCCTTTGATTAAATGCGACCCATGAATCATCACATTCTTGGAAGGCTTGCAGAATCTTCTAGGAAAGCACACCTAACTTTAAGGCAGTTTCCTCAAGGCTGCAAATGTTGTGTTTTACACATGTCAATGATTAAATAACCCTTTTTAAAAAAGCTTTTATTTATTTGTTTTAGAGAATGAGCAAGCATGAGTTGGGGGGAGGGGTAGAGAGAATCTCAGGCAGACTCTGTGCTGAGCCTGGGGCTCAACGCAGGGCTCGACTCAGGGGCTCGATCCCACAACTCTGAGATCATGACCTGAGCTAAAATCAAGAGTTGGCCACTTAACTGACTGAGCCACGCAGGTGCCCCTGATTAAATAACTTTGAAGTGCAGTTATTAAGGACATTTATATTTACCTATAGTTAAGCACTTGAACTTGCAAGACATAGGATCCCTTTTCCGCCATCTCCCCTCCACCTTCAGAAAGTGCTTCCAAGAATGGAAGCTGAAAAACAGAAAACAAGACTGAAGACACCTGGGGTCCAAAGGAGTGTACAAATAGTTATTTATATGGTTGGCCTGAACTGAGATAAAATGAAATTAGCTTCCATAACAAAGTGTTGTTCCCTGTCTCCAGACATTCTTCCTCTTGGATTTGTAGAAAGAAGAGACCTTCAAAACAAAAAATAAAGAAGAGCCTGTTGCCCCGTGCAAAATTTGGTTATTTGTTTCTTTTTCTCGTACCTAGCTAGAATGAACATTTTTAAGCTTCTTTTTTTATTGTGGTGAAATATAAAATTTACCACTTAACTATTTAAGTGCACAATTCAGTAGCATTAAGCACATTTACATTGTTGTGCAACCATCACCACCATCCATCTCCAGAAGTTTTTCATCCTCCCAAATGGAAGCTCTGTACTCAGTAAACAATGACTTTCCATTTCTCCCTTCCTCCTAAGCCCCGGTAATCACCCTTCTATTGTCTCTGTCTCCATGAATTAGTCTAGGGGCCTCATATAAGTGGAATCATACATTATCTGTCCTTTTGCAACTGGCTTATTTCACTGAGCATAATGTCTTCGAGGTTCATCCACGTTGTAGCCTGCAACAGGATTTCCTTCCTTTTTACGGCTGAGTAATATTCCATTGTATGTATATATCACATTTTGTCCATTCATCTCTTGATGGGCACTTGGCTTGTTTCTACTGTTTGACTATTGTGAATAATGCTGCTGTAAACATCGGGGTGCTCAATCAAGTAATGTCTTGAATTGCCTCCTCTTCCGGTTTCTCCTCCTCTGTGCCCTTGTCCCAATCCAGGTCTGACCCCCTCAGTGTTGGGACTGTAGCCACAACAGCCTCAAGGGCTGATGCACAGAGAATTTTTTTAAACCCCTTTTACCTTTACCCTTTCTTGTTTGGCTGGACTTTGTCCAGCCAGGTTTATTTATAAACCACGAAAGCTCATTAACACCACCAAGCATTTCATCCGGCTACCTCTCCACCTTTGTTATTGCAGGAAGGTACACTGAAGGGATCAGGCGGTGGGACATGGCTGAGGATAAAGGCAAGAGAGACTCCATCGGTATGAGTCTGCGGGGATGTCGGACCAACAACGGGTTTGTGCAGAACGAAGACATCCTGGAGAAGGAACCGGACCCGGGCAGCCCTCCGGACAGCGCAGTGGCCATCCTTGGCCCTGGCAAGCCCGCCCTGCAGATCATCAGGCCATATGCGGGCATGCCCAAGGAGGTGCTGTTCCAGTTCTCCGGCCAGGCCCGCTACCGGGTGCCCCGGGAGGTGCTCTTCTGGCTCACTGTGGCTTCTGTGCTCGTGCTCACCGCGGCCACCATAGCCATCATTGCTGTCTCTCCCAAGTGCCTGGACTGGTGGCAGGAGGGGCCCATGTACCAGATCTACCCGAGATCTTTCAAGGACAGTGACCAGGATGGGAACGGAGACCTGAGAGGTGGGTGTAGGGGCCAGATTCGGGCGGGGCTGGGATGAGGTTGCGCTTTATGGCTCTTAATCCTCAAAACCCAATCATGCCTGGTTTGTGCATTAAGCACATTCCGTTGTGACTGGTTACACTGAGTGTCTCCCTGTTTATGGCATTTGAAAAGCCATTCAGCACAACCCAGCAGTTCTTCACATGATGAAAGGCTGCTTACTGGAGGCCTTTGAGCTCCCACTGAGTTGTTTGATTTATTGCCCACTAAGTACATATACTTAGCTAATCAATTCTAACTTCTGACGGTGGAGTAGACTTCCTCCTTGGTTGCTTCCTGCCTCTGCGCACCTTCTAGTTGATTTCTTCAGAGCTGACAGTTTAGAATTATTTTCCCAGTGTATGTAGGAGCTAGTTTGGTAATCTGGCTGGGAGTTTCTTATTAATGAATAAAGCATAAATAATGTCAAAGAAAAAAATTAAGCCATATCTTTAAAGGGTATAGGCTGAGCCTTTAAAGTTTAAATTCTGAGAGATGAAAGGGAAAAAGGTGTTAGCAGGGTGTGTTGGACATTACGTGATTTGAGGATTATTTAAAATAATATCCCTATTAGTAAAAACAAAATGAAACACAAAGTAAAAAATTACTTTTTTAAAGTTACGCCAGTAATTTCCAAGTGAGTTATGTGTAGAATATCCTTATACTTCATTGCTCAAACCAGGACACTTTTTTTTTTTTAAAGGTTTTATTAAGTAATCTCCACACCCCAAGGTGCAGCTCGAACCCACAACCCTGAGATCAAGAGTCACATACTCTTCTGACTGAGCCAGTCAGGTGCCCCTGGGGCACATTTTTTTTAAAGAGAGGGAGAGAGGGAGGGAAGGGGCAGAGGGAGAGGGAAAGAGACAATCTAACTAGGCTCCATGCCACGTGGGGCTCGATCTCACGACCCTGAGATCATGACCTGAGCTGAAATCAAAAGTTGGACACTTAACCGACTGAGCCACCTGGGTCACTTTTAAAACTAAAATTTTGCCAGAGCACAAGCATAAACTGAATCTGTCCTGGGCAACTTGGTTGATATGGTCACCCTTGTTCAGGGTAACTATAAGAAACAAAATAATAAGGTAATTTTTGATAATAATACTTAATTTGAAAAAAAAACCAACACAGAATGATTTAATAGAGTGTGGGACCTGGGGATGAGCTTAATCTAACTTTAAAATGTTACAAATAGGAACTTAAAATCTCTAGCTGTCCTTAATAATTAATAAAAGGCTTCTCTTTTTCACGCTCATATCAATTTCTCTTTTTTGTATCTCTCTGCGTCTTCACCAATTGAAATATTATCTGTCCTTCAAGGTGCAGTTGAAACCCATCTTCTGCATTGGTTTTTGCTTTGCCTCCCGCTCAGAGCATGCGCTCCGTTCCGCAGAGCTCCCGCAGGGCTCTGCACTGTGTCCAGCGCCCTCTGATAGCGCCTTGTGGGCTGTCTGGGTGACTTCCCCAGCACACCCTCCTTGCTGGCGTGGCCGTAGCACCTGCTGCCTCTGCGTAGTCAATGCTTAGCGAAAGTGATGTTTTGACAGAATAGAGCTAAAACCCCTAAACCCAAAGATAAATTCCCCCCTTCCCGCCCTCCCTTTGTAATCTCCTTCTGATAGACCCCAAATTCTCGTGCACAGGGCAGGGTCTTATCAGCTCCTACATTTGCCGTTCCCAGTAACTTTGCCTGGAGGGACTAGCTGTTTCCTGTAATCAATAGGTCTTTGTCCTTGAGGTTGAGGGGATCTGCTTGTTATTATTTGAAGGAACCATTCCGGGTTTCAATTTGTTTTGGTGATTGCCTTCTGCCCCTTGGAGTGGGGGCCTGGGATCCCTGTTTACTTTGTCTCTGTCTAGACCCTTTGTTTTTAACATCCTGTTCCTGTGCGCTTATTCTTAAGAAGATACATTGTATCATTCTGATTTCATTCAAAATCCTTTTGTTGGCTGTGAACAGTCTCCGAGGTTTCACAGATACCTATAATGGGGGAACTGAGGTACAAAGAAGACAAAAATAAGCAGCCAATTATAGGGGAAGAGCCCCAGTGCCCGGAGTCAGGAGGCTTTGTGCTTTGGTCTTAGTGATCTCCAGCTTGCCGTGTGACCTCTGACAGGCTCTGATTGTAGGAAGGCACAGAGGGGTCCCAAAGAAAGTTACTGGAGATTGAATACTAGACTCAAGTCTCTGATCTGCGTTTAGGACTCTGAACCGGAATCACACAAAAAACCACGCTATCTGCTAATTATCCTACAAGGTTCCAAGTACACAGAGTTTCATTCCTGTGTCTCTACATAAAAATTGAGCTGTTAAAACTTTAATCAGGGGCGCCTGGGTGGCTCAGTTGGTTAAGCGGCTGCCTTCGGCTCAGGTCATGATCCTGGAGTCCCGGGATCGAGTCCCGCATCGGGCTCCCTGCTCGGCGGGGAGTCTGCTTCTCCCTCTCCCACTCCCCGTTTGTGTTCCCTCTCTCGCTGTGTCTTTCTCTGTCAAATAAATAAATAAAATCTTAAAAAAAAAAAAATTTAAAAAGAAAATCTTTTAAACAAATTTAATTTTAATTTAAAATCCATTTTAATAAAATTCATTTAAAGTGTTTCGTTTATGGGGCAACTGGGTGGCTCAGTTGGTTAAGTGTCTGCCTTTGGCTCAGGTCATGATCTCAGGGTCCTGGGATCAAGCCCCGCAACGGGCTCCCTGCTCATTTGGGAGTCTGCTTGTCCCTCTCCTCCCCAGCTCATGCTCAATCTCTCTCAAAGAAATAAATAAAAATCTTAAAAAAAAAAAAAGGTATTTTGTTTAAGCCAACGTATCATTCCAACATATAACCAACATAACAGTATTAATGAGATAGTTTACATTCTTACATTCTTCAGAATCCAGTGAGTATTTTACATTTATAGCACATCTCAGTTCACACTGGTCCCATTGCAAGTGCTCAGCAACAGCTCCATGGGGCATGCGGCTGTCATGCTGGATAGTGCCACCTAGACCATGAGTTACTCTTCTTTGTCCCTTGGCACTTAGCCCAGCACCAGGCCTGGATTAGGTGCACAAAAACCATGTGTAGAATAAATTAATACTGTAGCCCTGGTTTTATTTTTGTTTATTTATTTAAAGATTTTATTTATTTATTTGACAGAGAGAGTGAGCAAGCGCAAGCAGGTAGAGTGGCAGGTGGAGGGAGAAGGAGAAGCAGGCTCAGTGGGGAGCCCGATGCGGGGCTTGATTCCAGGACCCTGGGATCATGACCTGAGCCAAAGGCAGAGGCTTAACTGACTGAGCCACCCAGGTGCCCGTTTTGTTTATTTTTTAATTGATTTTTTAAAGTAGGCTCCGTAGCTGTGGAGCCCAGCACCAGGCTTGAACTCAAGACCCCCGAGATCAAGAGCTGAGCTGAGATCAAGAGTCAGATCCTTAACTGACTGAGCCATCCAGGGGCCCTATAGCCTTAGTTTTAAATATAAAATATGAACAGGGGCGCCTGGGGGGCTTAAGCGTCTGCCTTCGGCTCAGGTCATGATCCCAGGGTCCTGGGATCGAGCCCTGCATCGGACTCCCTGCTCAGCGGGAGGCCTGCTTCTCCCTCTCCCGCTCCCCCTGCTTGTGTTCCCTCTCTCGCTGTGTCTCTCTCTGTCAAATAAATAAATAAAATCTTTAAAAAAATAAAATAAAATAAAATATGAACAATGCACACACGGATTTTTTTTAACGTTCTACATTTATGTTAAAAGTCAAAGATTATTGCTAGAAGACCATTTGATGGTGCTTGTAGAACTAGATCTTTCTATTTGAATTTCACTCAAATTCAACAAAATTCCAAATATTTCTGTTTCAATATAAATATTTCAATTTTAGGCATGTTGGTTTTATTTTTAATCCTTCAACTAAAAAAACCCAACTTTATTTTCCATGGCCTTGACTTTTTTTCTTTAGGTATTCAAGAGAAACTGGACTACATCACAACTTTAAATATAAAAACTATTTGGATTACTTCATTTTATAAATCATCCCTTAAAGATTTCCGACACGGTGTTGAAGATTTCCGAGAAATTGATCCTATTTTTGGAACGATGAAAGATTTTGAGAATCTGGTTGCAGCCATACATGATAAAGGTAAACTGAGTGGCAGGTGGGTGGGAGGGGTGGTGGGGGTTGAGAAAAGCATTCTCCAAATGCTTACTTAAAGCACTTTTGTCCTTAACTGACGTGTATTATTTTAAAATAATTTCTTCCTGACATTTGAAATACTTTCGCTCATTAGGTTTAAAATTAATAATTGATTTCATACCAAACCACACCAGTGATAAACATGCTTGGTTTCAATTGAGTCGGAACCGGACAGGGAAATATACCGATTATTACATCTGGCATGACTGTATGCATGAAAATGGCACAACCATACCACCCAATAACTGGGTAAGTACCAACTTGTCTGATTTTCAAAGAGAACATGGGCAGATCTTCAGTAATTAAACTGGTTATTTATAAAGTCCTTGTAAGGAAAAAATTAATAGGTATAGTTTTGGGGAAAAGGAAAGTTTCCCAAAGAAGTAGAAATAAGCTACTCAAGCCTCCTAACATTTGGATTGGGACTTTTTATTTCATTGTAGAACATATATATTTTAGCAAATTAAAACCTATACTTTTTTTTTTTTTTAAGATTTTATTCATTTATTTGACAGAGAGAGACACAGAGAGAGAAGGAACACAAGCAGGGGGAGTGGGAGAGGGAGAAGCAGGCTTCCCGCCAAGCAGGGAGCACAATGCGGGGCTCGATCCCAGGACCCTGAGATCATGACCTGAGCCAAAGGCAGACACTTAATGACTGAGCCACCCAGGCGCCCCTAAAACCTATACTTTCTATTAGCCTCTCCTTCCCTCACTTCCCACTTTGCCCGACTTAGACTCCACGTCCCACTGGGTCCGTAACTGTCTTGCTATTTATTCTCCGGACCCCTTTGCCTTTCTGATGTTGTGACTCCCCTGTCCAACAAAACCCTAGCCATAAATAAACCTGCCCATCCACTTTCTCTTTGCTTGAACCTTGGTATCTGTGCCTTCAGAGACATCACACATCCACAGTCCCCACATGAACTGAGCCATCCAGTCTTCTTGGGGATTTTACTGTCCAGGCGCTCCCTCTTCCTCAAACATCCTACGTGCCATCTCCCCATCTTATCGTGCTCAGCAGCAAACTCTACTTCAAAGGGAGAGCAGAAGTCATCAAACCTGCCTCTACTTCTTTTTCTTTCTTTATTAAGATTTTTAAAATATTTTATTTGAGAGAGAGAGAGAGAGATAGCGAGAGAGAGCACGAGTGGGGAGGAGAGGGAGAAGAAGGCTCCCTGCTGAGCAAGGAGCCCGATGCGGGGCTTGATTCCAGGATCCTGGGACCATGACCTGAGCCGAAGGCAGCAGCATAACCGACTGAGCCACCCAGGTGCCCCTACTTTTTTTTCTTTTTAAGATTTATTTATTTATTTTAGAGAGAGAGAGAAAGAGAGAGAGCAAGAGGGAGAGAGAATCCCAAGCAGACTCTGTGCCCAGTGCAGAGCCTGATGCCAGGCTCGATCTCACAACCCCGAGATCATAACCTGAGCCCAAACCAAGAGTCAGATGCTCAACTGACTGCGCCACCCAGGTGCCCCAACCCTGCCTCTCTTATACGCACCTTCTTCCTACTCACTTCTTCTATGGCAGAGGCCAGGTCAGTCTTGTCTGGGGTTTCTAGACTTACAAATAAAAATCCAGGAAGCCCAGTGACATCTGAATTTTAGATAAACAATGCATAGTTTTTTAGTATAAAATATTGCTTGGGACATACTTATACCTAAAAATTTTGCATTGTTAACCTGAAATTTAGATTTAATTGTATGTCTTGTTTTTATCTGGCAACTCTACCCCTGTCTCTGGCCAGTCCCTCCACCTGATCTGGTCCCCGTTTCTCCTGCTTTACCCTTGATCCTCTGGATCTCCACTCCCCTGACCTTCTCCATAAACACTTAAAGAGGCTGGTTCCTAAGCATGAACTTTTAGATGAACCAAGGCACTCAAAATCGACATGTGTCAAGGCTGACTGTGTGATCTTCTCCCCACCAACCTCTTATACCCCGGTTTAATGAATAGTACTAGTATGCAGCCTGGTGAACAGGTCATCAGCAATCCTGGCAGTTTTAGCTCCTTAATTTTTCTTTTCCCCAGGCTGCACACTTGTTAAAATGATCATGATACTAGCAGACATTTACTAAAACACTTCCTATGTGCCAGGTTCTGTGCTAAGTGTGTCATATTCATTCATTCATTTAATCCACCCTACAATCCTGTGAGTTAGGTTTTAGTTCCTGTTTTGCAGATGGGCAATGTTAAGCACTGTGCCCTTGGTCACACAGCCAGTAAACGAAAGGGCTGATGACCGCACAGTCCAACTGCACCGTCTGCTTTTAAAAATTGCCCTATATCCAAAACCCTATATCCAAATTCTCCAGGGAAACAGAACTACTAGGATCTATACATACAAATATTAAGAAATTTAAGGGGCGCCTGGGTGGCTCAGTCAGTTAAGTGTCTGCCTTCGGCTCAGGTCATGATCCCAGGGTCCTGGGATCGAGCCCTACATCGGGCTCCCTGCTCCATGGGGACCCTGCTTCTCCCTTTCCCTCTGCCTGCCGCTCCCCCTGCTTGTGCTCTTTCTCTCTGTCAGATAAATAAATAAAATCTTTAAAAAAAACACTCATTTTTGTAGGTTCCAGTAGGTGTGGTTTATACATTTTCACTGTTATGTACTATTTCACTGGGTGCATGTGCTATGATTTACTTATGCACTCCTCTGTTGATGGCAGTTGGGCTGTCTCTAGGGGTTTATTTTATATATTTTTTTACTATTACTAATGATGCCATGGTAAACATTCTCATTAATCTATTTTTCTGGGGGTGCAGGTACAAGAGCTTCTAGAAGGCAAATGCCTAGCAGTGAAATTGCTGGGTGCATGACACTGCATGGTCTGCTCTGCAAGATAACACCAAACTGCTTGTCAGAGTGGTCGTACCAGTTGATATACCCCTTCAGTAGTATAAAAAATACATACGCCCTTTCATTTACTGGTACTGCCACACTTTGTAATTTTTTTTTTTTTAAAGATTTTATTTATTTATGTATTAGAGAGCGCGCGCGAGAGAAATAGCATGAGGGGGGAGAAGGTCAGAGGGAGAAGCAGACTCCCCACTGAGCTGGGAACCCGATGCGGGACTCGATCCCAGGACTCCGGGATCATGACCTGAGCTGAAGGCAGTCGCTTAACCAACTGAGCCACCCAGGCGCCCCACACTTTGTAATTTTTACCAAGAGAACATAAAGTTCACAGTGAGAACATAAATATCACACTGAGGTCTTAATTTTACATTTATCTAGTTATTAGTGAAGATTTATTTAATTACTAATGATGTTGAACATTTCTTCATACATTTATTCACTTGAGCTTCCGTTTCTGCAAAACACCTGTTCACGGTTTCTTTTCTCAGTTTTCTTTTCGATTGTTTGTGCCTTTGAAATTGATTGGTGGAGTTCTTTTTGTATTCTGGATCCCTATCTTTTCTCGGTCATAGATACCGTGAGTATCCTGGTTCGTGTCAGGGTGGACCATGCTGGTGGCGTGCTGGTGAGGCTGTGTCTCCTTAAAAGGCAGCAGCTACGACTTAGCTTCAGCCACTTGCTGCCATGGTGATGTGGACCTGGCGTGATGGGGTCTTCCCATTAAAAAGAAAAAGATTTATGCAAAATCCCCTTAATTTTTAAATGTTGCCCAGATGTTCTCTTTAACATGAAATGAACAAAAGCCCAAGCTAGAGCCCTGGGGAACTGTCACACTGAGGGAACCAAGTTGACTGAGAAGGAGCAAGAGATGTAGGAGAGTCCGCCGGGAGAGTCACGCTCTAGAGTCATAGACGGGAGCACTCCTCGAAAGAGGAAATCAGCACCTGTGTCAAATGCTGCTGGGTACCAACACTTGAAGTTGCTAGATTTATTTTATTCCTGAGGGCTAGTAGGGTTTTTAAGTGAAGGATTCTAATAATTTTCTGAGGATAGGGTTTAAATATTCACTCTGTGGAGATTCAAACTCCAAGACCAATGGAATATGTCTTTCTCCCCAATTGACCATTTGTATCACTTCACGAACAGGAGTCCAGAGCCTGGATAGAAGGTTCAAGAAAGTATGTTAGAAATGTCTGCTCTTTAACTTGGCCTTGTTCTGCATTTGAGAGTGTCGGTTTACCATTGTGGTTTTTATGAACAGCTTCTACTCTACAAACATGTCCCAACCACATTTGTGTGGCATTAGGCCAGCAGGTGACATTTTAAGGAATTAATTTATCTAGTGCTCTCCCTAGAAGGAAGAGTCTAAGGATTTGTGCATTCAGCTTGCACAGCGCCAGGGACAGCAATGATCGTTTCTTTGTGGGCAGTGCCATTATATGAATGCTAAGTAAGTGATTTGCTATTTTCTGTTTGCTAGTTAAGTGTATATGGAAACTCCAGTTGGCACTTTGACGAAGTACGAAACCAGTGTTATTTCCACCAGTTTTTGAGAGAACAACCTGATTTAAATTTCCACAATCTTGATGTTCAAGAAGAAATAAAAGTGAGTACAGATACCCGCACAGACTTCTCCGTTGCATGGGTGTTTAAGTGGTTATTTGATACTCTTGATGTTGAACAATAAGTGTTCAGGCAAAACCAAGTACTGTGGACTCCGGGATTATGGAGGCTGATGCAAATACAGACCCTCAAACATGGTGGTTCCTTCCCTCTCACCCAGAACAAGTGACAGGGGATGGAGGCAGAAATACCTGGTACCTTTGCTCCGAGCTTCCCCTCTGTCTGTGACAATGAGCCAGTATAGTGAGGGGGGCCAGAGTGTGGGCTCTGGGGTCTGAACCTACATCCAGCCCCAGCCCCATTGCTGGCTACGGTGGGCCCCTGGGTGAGGTATTTAGCTTTTCTGTGTCTCCGATCCCTCATCTATGAAACATGGCTGATGGCAGTGTTTGTCTCATGGGCTCTTTGGGAGATTAGAGGAGATAACCCATGCATAGCACTTCCGTATTCATTCAGTAAATATTCACTTACTGTCCGCTCTGTGCCAGGTCCTGTTCTAAGCAATGCAGCAGTGGATAAAAGAAGCCGTGCCCTCAAGGAGTTTCCTGTAAACTGAGGGGAAGGCAGACAATTAACAACTAAATATATAACAGGTCGGGTGGTTCCTAAGGGGAAGGGACATCAGAGTGCCAGGCAGAAGTTGGTTTGGAGACATCCCCATGTTGAGGTCCTGTTTGGACAAAGGCCTGAAGTTTGAGGGGAAGCCCTGTGGAGATTTGGGGGAAGAGAATTTCAGGCAGAAGGAAGAGCCAATGCAAAGATCTTGAGGTGAGAGGGTGCTTCGTGTGTTTCAGAAACGGCCTGGAGGCTGGTGTGGATGGTTGCCAGATAAGCCGATAAAAAGCAAGACACCAATGCAATTCTAATTTCAGATAAACAGTGAACAGTGTGCTATTTGGGACCTCCTTCTACTAAAACGTTACTCGTTGCTCATCTGACATGAAAACTTAGCTGGGTGTCCTGTGTTTTATCTGGCAAGCCTACGCGGGCACTGGAGTGACGTGAGGGAGAGTTAGGGGCTGAGATCCCAAAGGTTGGGGGGGGCTGATCCCACAGGGGTTACATGCTGAGCTGCTGAAGATCCCTCCGTGGCCCCTCGCGGCACATTTCCCGCCGGCGCTCACTCTGTGGTAGCTCCAACAATACCCTACACGGAATTGTGGTAAACGTCAGCTGTGGTTCTATGGCAACAGAAGGCGGGGGATTTAGGTTAGTGGGGTAGTGCTCTGAGGTAGGAGGGACGGAGGGGACCTGAACAGAACAGAGAGCCGTGTCAGCCAAAGGTGAGGGATGTAGGACTGCCACCTCGGAGTCAATAAGTGCACCCACAGCCCTTAGGTTTGTTCTTGTTTTGTTTTAAAATAATATCTCTCTTGGGGCGCCTGGGTGACCCAGTCGGTTAACTGTCTGCCTTCGGCTCAGGTCATGGTCCCGGGGTCCTGGGATCGAGTCCTGTGTGGGGCTCCCTGCTCGGTGGGAAGCCTGCTTCTCCCTCTCCCACTCCCCCTGCTGTGTTCCCTCTCTCGCTGTGTCTCTCTCTGTCAAGTAAATAAATACAATCTTTAAAAAAAATAAAATAATACCTCTCTTGAGGTATAATTCACATAACCATAAAATTCACCCCTTTCAGGTGTATAATTCAGTAGTTTTAGTATCTTCACAGGGTTGTGCAACCATCACTGCTGATTTCACATTTTCTTCACCCAAAAGGAAGCCCCATACCCGTTAGTAAACACTCTCCATGCACCGCCCCCCCGCCCCCCATGGGGGCATCCGCTAATCTCTCTGTCTCTGTGGATATGCCTGTTCAGGACATTCCATATAAACAAAATCATACAATATCTACCTATATGCCTATGATATGTATCTATATTTATAATCTATATTTAACAGTTTGAGGAACAGTTTTCCAAATCAGCTGCACCATTTTCCATTCCTGCTGGCAATGGGTGAGGGTTCCGACTTCCCTACGTCCTCAGCAACATTTGCTATTGTCTGTGTTTTTGAGTACCATCATCCTAATGGGTGTGGAGTTCTCTGATGGCTGATGATGTTGAGCATCTTTACATGTGCTTTTATAGTTTATTTTTATTTATTTTTATTTTTTACATTTTTTAAGGATTTTATTTATTTATTAGAGAGAGAGAGGGAGGGAGAGAATGAGCACGGGCGTGGGGGAAGGATGAAGGGAGAGGGAGAAGCAGACTCCCCGCTGAGCAAGGAGCCCAATGCAGGACTCCATCCCAGGACCCAGGCGCCCCCATAGTTTATTTTTTTATATCTTTGCTGGAGAAATGTCTGTTTGAATCCTTTGCCCATTTAAAAACTGTGTTATCTCTTTTTTTATTGTTGGTTGTGAGTTGGATACATGGATACATGACTTGCAACTTTCTCCCATTCTGTTTACTTTCCAACGGCGTCCCTTGAAAGCACAAGTTTTAAACTGTTGTCCAATTTATGTTTTTCCTTTGTTGTTTGTGCTTTTAGTGTCATTTGAAAACCATTGCCTAACCCAAGGTCCTGAAGATTTTCTTCTATGTTTTCTTCTCTGAGTTTTATAGTGGTAACTTTTACATTTTAGGTTTCTGATCCATTTTTTATTACCTTTTATATATAATGGTGTGAGGAGGTCCAACTTAATTCTTTGGCATGTGGCTATCCAATTATGTGTGGGGTTTTTTTTTTTAAAGATTTTATTTATTTGTCAGAGAGACTGAAATTGAGAGAATGAGTGGGAGGAGGGGCAGAGGGAGAAGCAGACCCCCCACGGAGCAGGGACCCTGACGAGGGTCTTGATCCCTGGACCCTGAGATCATAACCTGAGCCGAAGGCAGACGCTTACTCGACTGAGCCACCCAGGCGCCCCAGTTATGTGTGTTTTATTTTATTTTATTTATATATTTTTAAAAAGATTTTATTTTTAAAGATTTTATTTATTTGACAGAGACAGCAAGAGAGGGAGCACAAGCAGGGGGAGTGGGAGAGGGAGAAGCAGACTTCCCGCTGAGCAGGGAGCCCCGTGCAGGGCTCGAGCCCAGGACCCTGGGATCATGACCTGAGCTGAAGGCAGACGCTTAACTACTGAGCCACCCAGGCGCCCCAGTTATGTGTGTTCTAAAAAGATTATTACTGGGGCGCCTGGGTGGCACAGTCAGTTGAGTGTCAACTCTTGTTTTTTGCTGGGGCTTGTGCTTACGTTCTCTCTCTCTTTCAAATAAATAAAATCTTAAAAAAGAATAGGGGCACCTGGATGGCTCAGTTGGTTTAGCATCTAATTCTTGATTTCCCCCGGTTCAGGTCATGATCTCAGGGTCCTAGGATGGAGCCCTGTGGCAGGCTCCGCACTCAGCGAGGAATCTGCTTGAGGATTCTCTTTCTCCTCTCCCTCTGTCCCCTCCTCCCACCCCCCTACCTGTAAAATAAATAAATAAATAAATAAAATCTTTTTAGAAAAAAAAATAAAAAAGATTATTCTTTCCCCATTGATCTGTCTTGGAACCCTTTTGAAAATCAGTTGGCCATAAATGTCAGGGTTTGTTTCTAGACTCAGTTTTGCTCTATTGATCTGTAAGTCTGTTCTTGTGCCAATACCACAGTGTCTGGATTAGTGTAGCTTTATAGGAAGTTTTGAAATTGGGAAGTGTGAGTCCCAGAACTTTATTCTCCTTCAAGATGGTTTGGCTATTTTGGATACTTACATTTCTTTCTTTATTTCTTTTGGTGATCAAGTATTATTATTATTTGTTGACATACAATATTATATTCATTTCAGGTATACAACATAGTGATCTGACAGTTCTGTACATTACTCAGTGCTCCCCACAATAAATGTAGTCACCATCTGTCACCATACAATGTTATCCGAATACAATGACTGTATTCCCCGTGCTGCACTTTTCATCTCTGTGACTTGTTTTGTAACTGGAAGTTTGTGCCCCTTAGTCCCCTTTATCTATTTCACCCATCTCCGCATCCACCTCCCCTCTGGAAACCACCAGTTTGTTTTCTGTATTTAAGAGTCTGTTTCTGTTTATTTGTTTTGTTTCTTAATTCCACATCTAAGTGAAATTAGATGGTATTTGTCTTTCTCTGTCTATTTCACTTAGCATAATACCTGCTAGGTCCATCCATACCATGCAAATGGCAAGATCACATTCTTTTTTATGGCTGAGTAATATTCCAGTGTGTGTGTGTGTGTGTGTGTGTGTGTCTGTGTGTGGACACCACATCTTTATGGATTCATCTATCGATAGACACTTGGGCTGCTCTCATATCTTGGCTGTTGTGAATAATCCTGCAATAAACATAGGGATGCATGTATCTTTTTGATAGTGCTTTCATTTTGGGTAAATATCCAGTAGTGGAGTTATTGGATCATATACATTTATGAATTTTAGGACCAGCTTGTCAATTTCTGCAAAGAAGCCTGCTGCTGGGATTTGAGTAGGGATTGCACTGAATCTGGGCATCAGTTTGGGGGAGTATTGCTACTTTAACAATATTGTCTTTTGATCCAGGACCACAGGATGTCTTGCCACTTGTTTAGGTCTTTGGTTTCTTTCAACACTGTATTGTAGTTTTCAGGGTACAAGTCTTGCATGTCTTTTGTTAAATATATTCCTGTAGACTCCTTAGTTTTAAGGCTGTTTTTACTATACATGTTTGATGTTTCTCAGAATTTAGATGAATTGCTTTGGGATCTGTTCTAGAAGTAGGCACCTTGTCAGGGCAACCTTGTCTCATTGGGGTTGGGGAGTGGTGGAGGGTGATAGACACAGTTACTAACTAGGGGTTGGTTTTAAATGTCTTTGGTGGAGTGTGGACTCTTTTCTCCCTCACCAAAGATCATTTACACACCCTGACCTGCACCTCCCCCCGACCTGCCCTCACACACTTCTTGGGCATTAACTTTGTGCCAAATGCTCTACCCAGATCATCTCATTTAATGCTCAGACCACACCTAACTTAGGAGATAGCAGGACC